TTAAAGTCTTTTAATTTTGCTTTGTTTCTCAGTGACGGGAGAATTTGAGACCAATATCTCAGTTATGTGAACAGTGAAGATTTTCTGTTTTTGTTGTTTCATGGAGCCCCATTATGGTAAAATCAATAAGCAAATCAGAGATGTTTGTTGCCTAGTGAATCGGATTTTATGCAATTTAGAAACTATCAAGTACTGATACCTGTTAATAGCTTTTTGATTTTTCATCTTTATCTGAAGTTGTCAGAGCTACTGCAGAGTAATGCTCATTTATTGTCTGTCTAACCATTAGGAGAGAAATATTTAGCTTATCAGTAAATATGATTAGTTGAAGTCATGGCTTTAAGGTAAATCTTTCGTAAAGATCCGTATTCGGACTCTGGACAGAAGGACAAGAAACCGCAGCCGGTACGCATTGTTAAGTAAAGCTTGATTGGATGTCGGAGGCCAAGATTGTTATTAGTTGTAGTCGTTACGATGACAGTATTTTGGGTTACCCCTCACACATTGCACCTTACACGATGTTGACAATATGCACCTGGTGGGTAAAGACGAAGCGTAGCTACATTAGGCACTCGCATCGACGTATTTTATACATTAGATTATGTGTTAGATAAAGAATAAGATTTCAGCTAGAAATCTGTCCATCTGGCACATCGGAATATTGCGCTATCTCTCGCAAACCTTTAAGTTTTTTGTATTCGGTAAAGCATTTATGCTGGAATGAGTTTTGTGGTCTGCCCTATGAGCAAAGCAGCATTTATTGTTATTCCTGGTTGGTCGGAGTCCCTTGAAGCATTTAACACTTTTTCGCTGATGCTCTGATATCGTACATTCGTACAGAGGCTGCTGTTATGGAGTATCAAGATTGCGGCTACAGGCTTTTCATTCACACATTACTGAATTGTTTTTGGAGGTTTGTTCGAGATATCTGAATGATTTCTTGACTATTCATATACCTAAATCTCATGAGTGGCCCTGCTGGTGGGGGGATGCGAAAAGGACAAATGCCCCCATTTAATCTTCCATTTTTCCATAAGTAAGTTTGACGTTTTATACCTTCTGTGATCTTTTCTGAGCTTTTCATTGCCCTTAGTGTGCTCTAAGCGGATCGCGGGTTCATTGATAGGGTAACCTATGAATGAGACTGGATGTCACGCACGAACAGCTGGCGAGAATGCAGTATATCTTCATCATCTTCCATCGCCGCTTCTCCTTTCGGGTCGCGGAGGCAAACGTGTCAGACAGAGCTTCCAACGTTCCCGATCCTGTGCCAGAGTCTGAGCTTCGGCAGAAGACAGCTGGAGTCTGGAACAGACACCTTCCATATATTTGCACCAGGTAGAATGCAGTATATATAAAAAAATTTGCACTCCACTGCTAAGTGTTCGAGCCCATTCTTTATCCCGTTGAAAAGCTACTTGCAGTTGATGGAACCATGGGACGATAAACCCGTTTCGCTGAATGTGGCATTCCAATAGAGTGGTTTGTACGGTGATTTACAAATATCTTCACATATTTGGAAACAGCGTGTTATTTAGTGGCTTCAGCCTGCTGCAACCTATCTTATTTGCAGACGGTATTCGTTAACATTTTATGAAGTACACAGCTAACTGGACAACTTTAATCTCCTCATACGGGTGCTAAGTGACTCTTTCTTTTAATCTGATTCTTAATGTTAATGGTTTGATGTGATTGTTTATTTTGTCCGTATTATTTCAGTGTATTTGACTTTAGGATATTTTATGATGAGTAGTTTGTTATGTCAAAAGGGAAGAAAGCGTTCGCTATAAAAGAATGATGAGAACAGGTGCCATTTCGGTAATAATTAATTGAATTTAAATTTTACACTTGTATTCACGTTCAGTTATTTTAAGGCATCGTTGATTCGGCGTCTCCTCAGCGGTTCGAACCAGACAGAAAATAACGGTGAACGATTAATCTCGAACCTTCTGAAAGCTACGTTTTCTGATTCGAAAGATGTAGTCACTGTTCAGGACATATCAGGTTGCAATAAACTTCCGTCCAGCTTGCAGTTCTGGCATGTTGATCTCCTTATAAATCTTTTTTAGTAAGGTGCTCGAGTATAGATCGATGCTTTGATCATTTTAAGTCTCTCAATATTATAAAGGTTGTAAAGTGGGTTGTGATCGATCAGTCTTAAGCAGTAAGTGAAACGATCCTCTGCAGACTCTACTGCGGATCTCTCTGCTGCAAATTTTTCACTCACGAGAGATTCACAGTATTTATGCATTGAATACAAGGTTTACAGTTAGTTTTCGTTCTTTTAACTGCTTAGCAGATCAGTTTTGTAGGCTTTAGTTGAAACAGCATGAAGTTACCTCATTTTGCATGGTCTATGGCAGATTCAAAAATAGATATTAGTAATTAATCCATCTGCATAGGTAGTGATGCCTGTCATGACAATAGCAATTGAGGGAATATTCCAGTCTGATTGAGAATGGATAGAAGCAAGATCAATCGCGTTGCCTTTCGGTTTCATCTAATTTTTATTTATCTTATTACACATTGTAGTATTTATCTTATTACACATTGTAGTATTGTTTTTCTGACGAAATCTAGCGTTGTTTGACCAGATATTCTAACATCGGACTTTTGGTTGCCAGTCATTGATTCCATATTATCTGTATTGCACCAGACATTGAATCCATATGATATCACAGGGTTGCTTTCAAAGATTATTTTAAATGTCTATAGTCAGGTGAATACGTGCATTGATGCTGTTAAAATTTTTCTTCTGTTTTATTTCCATGGCATAAATAGCTAGGCATGTGATGATACCAAACAACAGAGTAGCTCATTGTATTATGGAGCTTCTTCATGTATTTCTTTTACTCATTTATGCGATTGTCCTTTCAGGAGGATGCGGCGCAATGTACCAGGTGTATGTGAAGTCGGACAAACTGAGTGGTACGTCAGTAGTCGAGCAGCACAAGATGGTGAATAACGTGCGTACATCTAAAGTTTCGAATCAGTTTTGCAGTTGATTCTGTTTGTTGTTGTAGATCCTCAAAGAACAGATAAAAAACATGCATGGAATCCGAATAATCACAGAAACGTGACTGTTCCAGTCTTTCAGTCGCGTATATCTGTTTGTTATCGATCCATGACTACTGATGCCTCGTTATTTTGACAGTGTTGCTTATGATTTGCGTCTAGCTTCTTTATAAACATAAACTTTATGAAGCATCTTACTAGGTAATTTATGTATAAAAGTTTGTTTATTTTGTATTATTTCATTGCTTGATAATAGCAGATTTCATGGTCAGATACTTTTTCTTCACTGTTTGATGACATGCCACTGCGCATTTTTGTATTAGGATGCTTATTTTACATCGTAACTGCGTTGAGGGAATTATGTGCAGCGCCCATTTCTGTGCAACGGTTAATGATGACAAAATGCTTAGACATTAGGATCGTTTTTCTAGAAAGCCATGACTGTAAGAAAGGAAAACCAGAAGCTTATAAGTCTGAAATTAAATCGTATGTTTATTACACTGTGTGGAGAGTCCTTTACTTCTTAATAAAAGAAGTTTATCTGCTTGGGCAAGGACGTTGCTGTCAACATGCTGTGGCATTCTGTTCGCGCTAAACTATAAAACAGGTAATCATCATCACCTTCCATCACCGTGACAACAGGTAATAAAATCTGAAATTATCTCCATCAGTGTCACGAACCGAGGGTATATAAACTAATTTTTCTGCTTTTCCGGATCTTCGAGTACCCTTGAAATAAAGGATAAGACCGATCGACGATGCAACTACATGTAACTTCAAATGACATTGATAATAGTGCTTCTACTTTTCGAATGTGAAAGATAGTTTTCCCTAACTTTGTGCATAACTGATGACTAAAGTCCTTCAGCAACGATGATACCACTATCCGGTTACCCTGATGATCAATTTTGCGATCTGTTCGGTAATTTTGGGCCGGATCAACTTTGCTGAAGCGCGAAATTAGCGCAAAGAATTTTGACTAATGAATGCAAGACTCCTTCAAATAGCGGATTTCAAAACACTGTACTACCACTTTGCTCCTAGTTGTCTAGAGGACCATACAAGTCAGTTACACACGATGGTATTCAAGTAAATGTAATGTCTAATGCAAATCGATTATTTTACTGACAAGAACAATATCTTGCTATTTTCCAGTGGTGCCAATGTTTTCACAAAACAAAAAATATTATTCGTACGCTAGAATATATTAATAAACGCCTACTATTCAATAACTGACAGCCTAACAGGCTGTCGTTAACTATGATTAAATGCAAGATTAATACAGTAAAAAACGATGAAAAGAACAGGCGAAACAAGTGAATACGTAAGATTATGAGGCTACAAAACAGAATTACTTCGACAAAAAGACATTTACTTCTATTAGTGATTAAATTTATAATCACATGCTTAGAAACGAAATACTAACAATAACAAATCAGATAGCACCTTCGATGGAAAACTGAAACGGGGTCGCATTTCACAACTTCAACAATTGATCACGTGTCCACGTGCGAATGTCACGACTAGCTGTTCAGGCTGGTCTCATGTTTCAAATGAGTCTGATGCGCAGCGAAACTTTCTGATTTAAGTCGTGGCACAGCAACAAGGCAAAACACTTGTAGAAACGCAACAGAACAGCTGATTGACAATACGTCAATAAAAGTTCTACTTTGCTGTCCGATCCAAGGTGGTTCATAGCCCGAAGGTCATATCATCTTACAGCACGTGAAAATTTTGGGCAGAGAAATGCTACAGCTGCTGCTTGTTTTCCAGCAAAGCTTCGCATCAATGGATTAACAGAGAAAAATAAAAACTAAGCTCATTACGGATTGTTCCTCTGTTGCTTCCGGCAGCAAATACAAAATAGTTAAAATTTATTGACAACAGGTAACGTTGAAGACAGCAGAAATCAATTTTCTCTAGCATCGAAGGAACCTAAAAAAATTTTTTATGAATTCTTCATACAGAAAATAAGCAACGTAATGACAAATTCGTGATAACTATTAAGGAATATTTCTGCGTTGCTACTGCAGTAAATACGGAAAAGATTTACCACAAAAATTTTGACAAGGAATGAGACGGCAAAACATAAGAAATGATTGTGAGCGATTAGTAATTAAAAAACAGAAGACTAGAATAAGAAAAAACCAATGCATGAAGTGCTTGAAAATACT